ATGTTGTATGTTGTATGTTGTATGTTGCTTCCTGAGCTTGAATCTTATTATTATATTCATATGTAAAAAATGTCAGCACAAGAAGAAAATATGCCGGAACTTGCTAGATGCAAGATTCAACATGCAACTTGCAACATAAAACATACAACATACAATTTGCAACATATGACATCCAACAAAACCTTCATCAACCCTTTTTTAAACTTCTGTAGTCACGTAAATGAAAGTGAAGTCAAACATCAAATTAAACCTTGACATGATTTACCTCATCTTTGTCCTTGCTGGTCAGCGGAGTATCTGCAAGGTCAAGTCCAGTGAATGTTCTCAGTAATTTGAACATCGGTGATGATTTGAGAAGCTCTTTGAGATCTGTCAGTACAGCGGGTAAACTATCAGTGGATGCGCGCTCATAATGTCTATAATACAAAATAGATCATTAAGTACAGCGGGTAAACTATCGGTGGATGCGCACTCATAATGTCTGTAATACGAAACTGATCATTGAGTACAGCGGGTACACTATCGGTGGATGCACACTCATAATGTCTATATAATAAAAAACAGATCATTGTGTACAGTGGGTAAAGTGGATGAAGTAGATAAGACATTAATTGGGTCACACTTTCCCTTCACATCGTGATTGGCTAGTCCTGCCCTACATGGTGTCCATGTAGTTACAAATGCTGTCCTTAGAGGACTATTAATCTCGGGTTTTCCTTACCTCTTATTGGCTGGTCCAATGAATGCCCACTTTACATCTTCGCTTCTCAAGGCTTTTAGAACTTCTTCATATTTATCTTCCTTTAAAGATAATAATAATAAAAAAATTCATCTTTGTAGTAGAAACAGAAGGTCGCATTGGAGATGCCTTAGAAATTTGTAATTGTATAAAAAGGTTAGACCATAGTAAGAAATATTAGCCAAGACAATTTAAAGAGCTTTTGACAGATGAAGTTACGTCTTAGAAAAAAGAGAGTGCCACAGGTCGCACCAAGTGAAGTAAATATTATATATGAGGGAGTACCACAGAGGTTTAGTTTGGGACCCTACATACGGTGTATATGAAATAGTATTACCTACAAAGAGAAAGTCCTGAAGATCAATCTCTGATTCCTCTTCAAATTTTACTCGCATGTAAGAGACAACTCCTTCATCGAGGGAGTACCACAGAGGTTTATTTTGGGACCCCTACATATGGCGTAATCGAAATAGAAATTGACCTACCAAGAGAAAGTCCTGAAGTTCAATCTCTGATTCATCTTCAAATTTTTCTCGTATGTGTGAGACAACTCCTTCATYGAGATAGATGGGATTGATCCACTCAACCAAACACTCATCCTGAAAAAAACAAACAACCCTGAATTGAAAACTATTTACGACCCTCGGACTCCCCGCAATAGGCTCTTCTGTGAGGTTCCCTCCACTCTCACTAACACTACATTCAGGGAGGAAAACCGGAGAACCCGGAGATACCCTCAAGTAGATAACAACACATCTAACAAGCTCATTTTAAATATGAAGTTTACTCGCGGCCCAAAACCACGACCCAAGGCTTCAACTAAAAAACAGTTAGAGAAATCTATTCTGGTTCACCGAGTCTGTGATTGTCGATATATCTAACCCAGTTTTGTGCCTGCAAAAAAGTTTCCATTCATTCCAATTCAAGACACTTTCTAAGGCACGAACGTTATTTCCTTATTTTGTGAATGTGATAATGGTCAGTGGGTAGCTGGAAGGAGAATGACTTACCCCACCCCCCTTGGGGAAATTGTTCMCCTTTGCGTTTCTTATTTACCTCTAACGGCTTGGGTGGTACTGTCACTGGACAAGGTTCTGTGTAAGGGGGAGTTCGCTTGGGTGGGTTGCCATGGAACCAGCCACTGATTGACAGGCGTGTCTTGCTTTCAGACAAGACCTCAGAAACCTTCAAAAAAAGGAATTGAAAAACGAAACAATAAAAAGTTTAGAGAAACCTATATGTATAGAACTTCACCTCTGGAGTCTCGGGTTTGACTCCCAGACTCGGCATCTCGTAGGTCTCTCCCTCTATAGGAAATCAAAATTGGTGGTCTAGCGGTAGGGCACTCCCCTCTCAACTCTGGAGTCTCGGGTTTGACTCCCAGACTCGGCATCTCGTAGGTCTCTCCCTCTATAGGGAATCAAGTGTGCTGGTGTAGCAGTAGGGCACTCCCCTCTCACCTCTGGAGTCTCGGGTTTGACTCCCAGACTCGGCATCTCGTAGGTCTCTCCCTCTATAGGGAATCAAGGGTGGTGGTCTAGCGGTAGGGCCCTCCCCTCCCACCTCTGGAGTCTTGAGTTTGACTCCCAGACTCGGCATTACTAGTAGGTCTCCCTTGATTTCAGAGTTTTTCTCCAGGCTCTCCGACCAACGCTYGRGGTCTGACAAGGTGCGGCCTTAAATACATCTGAAAAAGGTTAGACCTTCACGTGGCTTGGATGACCACGTTAATGGCACTCCCGTCTCTAATAACTAGAGACTTTAAAAAAGGACCACGAATTTATTAGTTGAATTACTGTCAAGTGTCATCCTTTATAAACAAAGTTGATTCATTTTATCTTAGTTTTCGCTTTTCCTCGCTCCGTATAAAAGACCTAACACGGCTATTTCCAATTCGAATTGTCAGTTAGATGTGAGAAATAATCCGGAGAAAACGCCTTGAATCAAGGGAGAGACCCAACAAACTCTGCTCACATGTGATGCTGGGTCCAGCAAATGATTTCGAGACCATAGACGTGAGAGGCGAGCGTAATACTTGTATGCCAGCCTTTTGCTTACCTGATGAAATGAAACAGGCGACACTTCAAAAAAGGCCAGAGAATTTTCCTTTGGTATCAGCGACTCTACTATCTTGTCTGGCTGACCATGTTCTGCAAAACAAAAGAAATGAATATCTTGACCTGGAAGTTGTTACCACTGCTATATACTGTCAGGGGTAGGGTGGGGTTACAGCCACAACAATAGATAATGATAATGATGATGGTGGAGGTGATAATGATGATTGTGATGATGATGATGATGGTGGAGGTGATAATGATGATGGTG